CTCTACCACAGCTTATTTTCATGTGTCATGTTTAAAAGATCATGCAAATATTGTTTTATAAAAATATTCACATATTTAAAAATTCAAAGAACTTATTACCATTAATAATTGATAATCTTGTGATTTTTTTAAATTTTGGAATACAACATTTAAATGCAGAGATTTGAATTTATCATTGTTTAATTGGAATGTATATCTTAATCAATTTACCTTGACTTAAACTAACCAATTCTTATAGTTTTTTTTTTTTTTTGAGAAAAAACTAATTCTTATAGTTTTAATCTTACTTATAGTTTTGTTAAATTTCATTAATTAGATGTTAATACTTTTGTCATGTGACACGTTAATGTGATTAAAAGAAGTGGTGTGAAGTAGGATTATATGGGTGGATTGAGAGTTGATTAAAAAAATAGAGAAAATCAGGCGTGGGTTTTCGAGTAAAGAGGAAACAAGTTGGGAAGAAAATTTCTTTTAAGTGACAATTATTTTYCGGATAATACCTGGATGAGGACCAAATTATTATTTTATCATTCTTCACTTAGATGCATAATAAATATTAGGTAGCCTCCGAATCAGACATGCGTCCGTTCCTCCTCAAGCGCGGACCCATTGAGAACCACCTTCTCATAGAGGATATCGTCGAGCAGAAAGTGTATTTGCTCAGAGGGAGACGAAGATTGTAAACGGTTACGCCCCGTACATGGCCATAGCTGGCAATGCATGCTGTCGGTACAATAGGTGCATCCCTCGACCCTGGTCAACATGTCCAGAAGGCCTCCTTCTGTCCAGCCGTATAATGTGCGACGTACCTACTACTTCCAACCGTCATCTTTCCTGACCGGTCCATCGAGACGATCTCACCAAGTAAGTGAAAAACATGTCACTAATACCTTTGGTGTCTCATTCCTRTTTCTATTCCGATTACTAACTTGATCGTCGGAGCGTATTAGGCGGGACACCGCACCAACGTCGAGTTCTTTGGTTTAAGGTCTAGTGGATCCAAGGTCGGACTGCTCGTCCGAACACCACGTGGCCATCTACCAAAAATCACCCTCAACAATTACAAATAAATATCACACAAAAATAATAAACAATTACCAAACCAATTTTATAATAAAAGAATTATTGACTTATATACATCTGATAGATATGATTGTCTGATATGCTATGAGTATCTTATTGATATAAGTGAAAATTTGTGTTACATTTGAAAATTCTAAAAAATAGGCGACATATTTTGAAAACACATAAAAGATTTTTGCTACCTATTGCAATATTTCTTTTTTAATTTCAAAATTTTCGTTTTTTCTCAATAATTAAAAAACAAAAAATAAGAAATAATTACCAAATCAATTTTGTTTTCATTTATTTAAAAAGGAAACCATAAACAAGAAAGAGATAAAAGAAATAGAAACGTCGTCAAATGGGCCRGTTCCTTTGGGCAAAAAAAAAAGAAAATAATAATAATAATTTCAAGTGTCGATTTCTTTTTATAATAAAGGAATTCTCTCTTTTTAATCCTCAAGYCTAAAGTGAAAGCGAAAGAATCCTTGAGAGAAATTTCCTATGAAATTTCTTAGATGGAAACATTATTATTACTTGTCTGTCATTTAAAAATGTTTGGAAAATATTTATCAATAAAATAAGTGCTCTATTTGGTTACGTCAAGAGACTCTGCTTGAATTTCTCAGAAATTTCATAAAAACGCGTTCATTATTTAGTGACAACAAGACTTTTGGTCTCCCCCAACTTGACCTTGTTGAAAATTAAAACATTTTACTCTTCTTTTTTATTTTTCTTTTAAACGAAGATTCGAAATTAGATAATATTTATCATTTATCATTTATCAAGGGATGTTTTATTATCTCAAACTCATTGTAAGTTTTTTAAGTTCTATTTTTATCTAGAAGTTGTAAAGACTTGTGCTAGCAAGATTRTAGGTAATCTATTAACCAAATTCTCAATGATTTATTAACTAGTATTTACTAGATTTAAAAAGATATTAACCTATAATTCATAGATAAATTTACTGAAATTCAATGAGCTAAACTATAAATGGGTGCTTCGTCCGTGAGTTAGTTTATGAAACTCATCATTATATAAGTTGTTCATTTTGGTCTTCTACATTGTTTTTTTTTTTACGTGACAATGAATCGGCATCTTCTATTCGGCTAACTATATCAAGAATTTAGAGCCAAGCAAGAATAAAAAAAATGTGTAGGTATTTTTTTAGTGGGTAAAATATAGTTGAAATAACATTTGTGAGGTTTGAAACTAAACTCAAACTAAATATACTAAATTAAAACTTTTAAAAGCATAGGAATTAAATYGATACGATGCTTGCCTGGAAAGACCAAAATGATAGTTTAATGTTAAAACTAGGACTCAACCATCCAAGTTACATGCCCTCCAATTTTATAATGAGAGAGAAGCAATTGTCTTAAAATACAAAGACGAAACCAAACACCAGCTCATGACACCGCAAAGAATATTAAAATAAACCAAAACAAAATTCCTCAACGACCAAAGTTGGGTTGGTTTGGGTGACCAAATAATGTAGGAAGAACATCACAACAAGACTACGAACAGCAAACAAAAACATGGACAGACAGCTAAGAAAAGAAAATAAAAAGAGGTTATCCAAATAGACCATTCAAAATGTAATAAAGCAGAACAAAATTTTAGATGGGTGTGTGACGCAGAGGCAATAAGGAATCCTGATTGCATCATCATCTCTATAATTAAACATATAATTGATTAGTTGTTTCTGTTCCAACTTCCAAGACTGTCTCTATTTTCTTCATAATGCAAACACAACATAAAACAAAGACCTTGCAAAAGTACCAGGAAATTTTGGTGGAATATATATATATATATATATAATTACGTTCCTACTCAAATAAACACTTATCTTGTGTCTGGGAAGATTTGACTGACCATATTGTGGTATGAAATTCCTGCAACTTAGCAATTACAAAATGAGATGATAATATTGTTGAATGCTGACTCAACTCACAGTATACAATTTAATAAATGAATTGAAGAGTCAATCGCAATCTTAAATTTTCCATGTTTATTTATATATAATAAACAAGAAGGGAGATTTGGTGAGCTTTTGACGAATTCAATCCCTTTGCTAATGGACGTCCAGCCGCAAGACTGGGGACTTCTTATGGACTTGCAAAGGAGCAGTACTCAATAAATAATTGAGGACTTGTTTGGTTCTTGTTTTCAGTGCAATCCGTGGATGTGTGTTTGGCAAAATTTGACAAATTTGTCTTCAAAAACTATTTTCGGGTTACTGAAAATCTTGAAAATGTTTTCAGATTTTGAATAATTTTAAATTTTAAGTGGCAGAATTATATTAAAAAAAATAAAAAAAATTCTAATAAATATATTATAAACTCTTTTTTTTTTAATTAAAATACGGGTTCCCACATGTTTGTACTCAAAACTTATTATAAATTATATAACTTTTATAAAATAATAATTATACAAAATTCATAACAAAAATATTAATAACTTAATTAATATAATTTTAAATTAAACTAAATATTTAATTGGTAACTACTACTACCTTTTGTAAAACATAATTATTTAAATTAAAGCTCAATTACCAAATCATATACAATTCTATTTTTCATGGTATCCGAAGAGCGCCCTTTTGTCTTTTCACATAAATTTATCCTGAAATAAGTTTGGTTGTTTCGAGACCTTCCATATCTCCACAGTTACATCAAATCCAATGAAAAATAACTAAACTAAAAGGTGTGTGCCGTGGTGACTTTTGGGGCGTAAGGAGAGATTTTAACCAATTGGTGCTTTTGAAATTCTTTATAGTATCAATTTAGTGATACTCAAAAACACTTATTTAAACTTTTTTTTATAACAATTTTGTTTTTATTTTCTATTTTTGAAAAATTAATCTCAGAAATAGAGAAGATACCATGTCGTTATATTTCTACCAGGTATGGTTTTATTATCACGTTTTAAAATTTATTTTTATTTTTATTTTAAAATTTAGCTCTGATAAGAATCCATTAGTATAAGTCATATGGCATCTCGACTTCGAGAAATTAAAAAAAAAAAAAACTCAATATATATAAAGAAAAAATTGAGGTAAAAAATCAAGCGCTGATCTCACTAGAAGGGGC